GAGTATTATTGTTCACCTAGTCTGTACCAAGTTCAGTCTCTATCAGGCAATGTATGAGTGAGTTATAGCTAACGGATTCATGAGTTCTCCACCCAGATGGATTGACTGACATGTTGCAGCAACACTGTGTTAAAAAGTCATTTACTTTCAGACTCCAAGTTTTGTTTCAAGACTAGTTTTGAGATATCAGATGCAAATTGTAGGACTAGTTTGAAAAATACAAACAATGACCATTTGTAGAAAAATGGTAAAAATTTGTAAATGACAGATTGACTTATATTAAAATTTTCAGGCTCATAAATGTGCAGGTGAACAGGCTGAATGGTAAAAATACCATTTTTTAGTGTTTTAAAACATAAGTAACACCCCCAGTGGTCGATAACTGTAAAATGTAAATGGGTAGTAGGTAGTCCATACCTGAAGATACATATAGGTTTCATGGAGATGGGCCAATTCTAGGGCTGTCAAATACCTGCTGAAGTCTGACTGGCTAATGGCAATGTTTTTCAAATATGACATTAGCCTCATAGGATCTGAATGAGGACGGCACACAGTAACAATATGTCAAATTTCATGTCAATTGAACGACCTTTGGTTGCATATTTTCTTGATACAAATCTGAAGCCACGACTCCTGTAAGGTACATCATGCCTGTGAAGTTTCGTAATAATCGGTTAAAGAGTTTCCGAGTCCTGTAGATGCGTAACTTGCGCACCATAAGCTACACTCCTGTTTTTGGGTGGTGCTTGGACACTACATAGTGTTGAAATTCCAATTTGTTTTGCTAATTATTAAAGTTTAATCTCTTGGGATTCTTTCGACACCAGATTTGTGCAGACTGTGTGAACACCTGGGGACTGGTTCACGCTCAAAATCTGTGAGATTTTGCATAAAATGCAATTTTTCTCAAAATAAAGAAGGAGGTGCTATCTGGATCCTGAGCTGTTTTTGAAGAGCATGAGATGTGTAGATAGAGGAAAAAAGAATCCGGTCTACTAGCTGTTGACAAAGTTTCATGTCTGTATGACTTACGGTTTGGTATGCTTGATTCGTTTCAGTAAAGAAAAAGAAGAAGAAGATGAAGAAGGAGGAGGAGGAAAATCCTAACAGTTACAACAGGGTTCCAGCACCAAGTGCTTGGACCCCTAATAATAATAAATGCTATAGAGAATTAAAATAGTATGAGAATAAAATGTTACAACACACAAACACACACACACAAACACACACACACACACATTAACATTGAGTTTCTGCTGTTAATTTGTTTATTTGATAACTGTCATTAATTCACTGTTTAAGTACTGCAGTATTAAACTGAAAATGATACTATAAATATAAAATTCTATCAGTTGATATCATTTAACCTTTTCAACTCCTTGAGACCACCAGTGGTTCCAAAACGCACTTCGTCATGTTCTTCATAACTTTCATATTTCATAAGCTACATTCAGAAGGTGGGGGTCGTATGAGAGCTGTAACTGTCTTCTTTCCAGTCTAATAGATGGGTGATGTAATTTTAAACTCTTACAATAAAAGAAGCTGAACTCACAATTTTTTTGTTCTACTGAAAGTCGACCCATTTTTCCACAAATCTGGGCTATAAACTATAAACAGATGGCGTCTCTTCAGTGATCTGCTCTGTAAAAGTTACTTTTATAAAATAATATAAAGAGCGTCTCAGATTTTTGGCTTTCAGCAGTGAATTGTAAGCATATAGTAATATGTGTGATCATAAAACACATGTTCTGTTAATCTGAGGGGAGCTTTTACAAAAAAAAATAAAAAATAAAAATGTACATTTATTTCATGTAGTTACTGAATAATTTGCCTTACAATTTGGTCATGTAAATTCAGATGGACAAACCAAAATATACCCTGGTCAAGATATTATCATATAACCTGAATTTTCAGGCCCTTAAAAACAGTAACAGCCACAAAATGTTCAGCTGAGTTGTTCATCAGTTGAGCTATAAAAAAAAGATGACAAACTTGTACAGTGTAAGTTTGTCTGAGATATTATTGTGTAGTTCAGCTGGTCGTGTATTAAAACAAACATGCCTAAAACACACAGAACAATCTCCATATGAACTCAGCCATCAGGTCTGGATCATCTCTTACGGTAGCTGCACATGGTAAACAAATATTAATATATCGATTTTCTTTTTTGCATTATGTGAAAACTCCCATTACACTTTGCACTGCGTTTCAATTTCATGATGGACAGAACATTAGAAATGGTCTAAAACGACTTAACATCCACTGAACATCCTGTAAAGTTACCATTTTAGAGGTTCTGTTATGACAACAAATACTATTCATTTAAAAAAAGGACATTCAAATAGCAAAACTGTTACAACGCCCCAAAAACAAATGGATCTCTCAGGACTCCTGTATATGAGTTACTCTTTTGAGAGTTCAGGTTTGGATGCATTTCCGGTAGCCTGGCACTTTGTTGGCTATTCCTAGAAGGGTTTGTCTAACATTACTGTGGGCGGTACGTGTGTTATTATCAATCTTACATGAACCCCTGCAGTGAAGCAGAGCCAAACAACTCCTCTGCCATGCCCTGTCCCATCCCTCTTTGACGGCCTGTATAATTTGCTTCGTTTACTCTAATCCTACCTCACATCACTCTCTTTTTCTGACAGCAGCATCTTGTTTATTCAATTGAAAATGGCTACGAGCTTCCTTCATTTGTGCATTAGAGTTGCAGGGCACTCTGCTGACTCACACAGTCATTAAGGACCAGACAATAATTCAGTTGCACTATCAGATGCTTGGGTCAAATGCACGTTCACTCAGACAGTTGTTTCGGCAGAATTTTAACCACACCAGATCTTCCTGGGAAGTAGTGGTGGATGATGTGGCAAAAATATGACATCATGACACTTTTTCAAGACGCACAATTCGCAGAATGGTGTTTAGTTTTTACGAGGCTTGATCTTTTTCAATAGACGAAAAAGAACCACACCTAAATAGTACTATCAAAAACTGAGTACTACGTCTAATTATGCTCTCTTTGTAATGAAACATTCAGCTGGTCAGTGTTCGTTACGTACTGATGAAATCCACAATATTCTCAGAAAAGCGTATTGTGACGTAGGGATGGCCTAAATAACCAGAACACTCGAGTATTCAGAATTATTGTGCTTTAAAGCCACTAAAATCAATTAGAGCAAAGGCCTTTGGACAGATAGAACAGTTATTGTTACTATAGGGAAAATGTAAAGCTAGTTTAGGTGAATTTATCATAAATTCATGCCAGCCATCCTCATCACCTCGCCTCTAAGTGAGCCAACCTGCTCTGCTTTCCACACAGTCATTGACGCTGAAGGGCTAGAAGGAAATATGTGGGAGTACTTTAATTTTATAAAGCAGAATAACACCACTGCACTGGACTCTACAGAGCACAATAACCCCACTGCCCTGACCTTATAGAGCAGCACTGGCCTCTATAAAGCAGAACAAATCCACTGCACTGGCCTCTATAAAGCACAATAACTCTACTGCACTAGACCTTATAGAGCACAATAACCCCACTGCACTAGACGTTATAGAGCAGAATAACTTCACTGCACTGGCCTGTATAAAGCAGAATAACTCCACTGCACTGGCCTCTGTGAAGCAGAACAAACCCACTGCACTGGCCTGTGTAAAGCAGAGTAACTTCACTGCACTACTACACTGGCCTCTATAAAGCACGATAATCCCACTAAACTGGCCTTGGTAAAGCAGAATAACCCCACTGCACTGACCTCTGTAAAGCATAATAATCCCACTAAACTGGCCTCGGTAAAGCAGAATAACCCCACTGCACTGACCTCTGTAAAGCAGAGTAACTCCACTGCACTACTACACTGGCCTCTATAAAGTAGAATAAATACACTGCACTGGCCTCTATAAAGCAGAATAATCCCACTAAACTGGCCTTGGTAAAGCACAATAACCCCACTGCACAGTCCTCTGTAAAGCAGAGTAAGTCCACTGCACTACTACACTGACCTCTATAAAGCAGAATAACCCCCCCGCACTGGACATAATAAAGCAGAATAATCCCACTAAACTAGCCTCGGTAAAGCACAATAACCCCACTGCACTGCCCTCTGTAAAGTACAGTAACTCCACTGCACTACTACACTGACCTCTATAAAGCAGAATAACCCCACTGCACTGGATGTAATAAAGCAGAATAACCCCACCACACTGGACTCTATAAAGCAGAATAACTAAGTGTATTTAAAACTTGACAGCACAAACAGCAGATCTTTTTATCCCGATCCACAATCCCGAGTCGTTTCTGGCTGTATCAGAGAACGGTTTCCTCCACATACTGTTAGTACAGCGCAGGAGCTGCTCTGCTACTATCACACCAACAAGATCACCACATCTCTGTTATTGTTTTAGATGCTGTTTACAATGCTACATAAAGTGAGTGTGATTTGGACTGGAGTTTGGACACTTCACTTGCAAGCACTTACAGACGTGAGGCAGAATCAGTTTTTAGAATAAGGGAACTTTTCAGATCAGGTTTAAAGAATTTTGTGAAAAATAGACGTCAAAACCTGAGCACGTCTTGAAAAAAATCAGAAAACGTTCACACCACCTCTTTATTTCTTCTTCTCTCCCTTGTGCTCCATACAGGATTTTATCCTTTGCCTTTGATACAGGCCTGTCTTCCCCATTCCCAAACCCCAAACATGAACAACTATAAAAAAAAAATCTAAAGCGAGATCTCAGATCTTCTTAAATTTCAAACAGAAAACAGTCGCAACTATAGAATCATCTTGTCCGTTAGGTAATAGATTTAAAGTGTTTAAAATAATTTCATGATTGTCTGTCCTTTAATAAGCTTAGAAAAAATTCACTCAAAAAGTGAAACGTCTGCACCTTGATAGAACTGTTCACACTGGCTCTAAGCTTTTATGAGTTCTATGAAGGGAAATTATCTCAATCTTGAATCCTAAATCTGGTAAGTTACCCATCGTGACTGTCCTCACCTGTCCGTTTCTACCCAGCTCCAATTCCACCAGGGCTACGGGGGTGTTGGATGTGCTCCCCCTGGTGGATGCGGTCTGCAGGTCCACCCTCCAGTTCACGCTACGCAGACCTGGTTCCCACCGGCTCTGTGCCAGCAGGCTCTCTCTGATCCGCGCTCGGTGAGCCTTCCAGAAGCGCCCCAGAGCCGCCGCCTGCTCAGAGCTCACACCTCCACCACCCTGTTTACGCGTCTGAGCTGTCAGGAAGGCCTCCAGCTGCGTCTGATCCATGTCTGCTGTAGCAATGGACTGAGAGAGAGAGAGAGAGAGAGAGAGAGAGAGAGAGAGAGTCAAGTGTTGGTGAAAGCGCAAAATAAAAAATAACCACACAGATAGACAGATAGATAAATATCATGAAAAACATCAAGAAGGCTTAAATACTTCATTTATTTGGATAATTTCAGCAACACCAATAAAAGCCACAGTCTGAGCCGTTTTCTCAGACATAGGGTTTAGGGTTTAAGCTAATAGACTAAACTGCACTGCCAGTGGTGTTTATTTTAGACCCATGTGGGTCAACAGCTTAGGCCAAACAAAACAAAATGCTGCCATCAGCTGGTGACGACAAAGATCCACAACATTTAACACTGACTGCCTTCTTAAATACAATAAAGCTGAAGATAAATAATAAAGCTTTCCTAAAGAAAAACAAATTTCTGTCAATCGAGTCTATTGAAATGACAGCAAACATACACAACTTGCAGTTCTAGATTTAATGATCTGGATGCTCATTATTTGGTTGCAGATTTTTGTTTTGTGTCACACAGGCAGTGGGAAGCTCTTTTCATGCTGTGTAATTTCAACAGTACCGCATTAGCCTCTATAAAGCAGCATAACCTCACTGCTCCGGCCTCTATAAAGCAGCATAACCTCACTGCAATGGCCTCTATAAAGCAGCATAACCTCACTGCTCCGGCCTCTATAAAGCAGCATAACCTCACTGCAATGGCCTCTATAAAGCAGAGTAACCTCACTGCTCCGGCCTCTATAAAGCAGAATAACCTCACTGCTCCGGCCTCTATAAAGCAGCATAACCTCACTGCAATGGCCTCTATAAAGCAGAGTAACCTCACTGCTCCGGCCTCTATAAAGCAGAGTAACCTCACTGCTCCGGCCTCTATAAAGCAGAGTAACCTCACTGCTCCGGCCTCTATAAAGCAGCGTAACCTCACTGCAATGGCCTCTATAAAGCAGAGTAACCTCACTGCTCCGGCCTCTATAAAGCAGAGTAACCTCACTGCTCCGGCCTCTATAAAGCAGCATAACCTCACTGCTCCGGCCTCTATAAAGCAGCATAACCTCACTGCAATGGCCTCTATAAAGCAGCATAACCTCACTGCTCCGGCCTCTATAAAGCAGCATAACCTCACTGCAATGGCCTCTATAAAGCAGAGTAACCTCACTGCTCCAGCCTCTATAAAGCAAAATAACCTCACTGCTCCGGCCTCTATAAAGCAGCATAACCTCACTGCAATGGCCTCTATAAAGCAGAGTAACCTCACTGCTCCGGCCTCTATAAAGCAGAGTAACCTCACTGCTCGGCCTCTATAAAGCAGCGTAACCTCACTGCAATGGCCTCTATAAAGCAGAGTAACCTCACTGCTCCAGCCTCTATAAAGCAGAGTAACCTCACTGCTCCGGCCTCTATAAAGCAGAGTAACCTCACTGCTCCGGCCTCTATAAAGCAGAGTAACCTCACTCCACTTGTCTCTACAAAGCAGAAGAAGCCCACTGTACTGGTCTCTGTAAAGCAGAAGAAGCCCACTGCACTGGACTTTATAGAACAGAATAATTCCACTGCATTGAATTTTATAGAGCTGAATAAGCCCACTGCACTGGACTTTACAGAGCAGAATAAGCCCACCGCACTGGACTTTACATAGCATAATAAGCCCACCGCACTGGACTTTACATAGCATAATAAGCCCACTGCACTGGACTTTACATAGCATAATAAACCCACTGCACTGGACTTTACATAGCAGAATTAACCCACCGCACTGGACTTTACATAGCAGAATAAGCCCACTGCACTGGACCTTACAGAGCAGAATAAGCCCATTGCACTGGACTTTATAGAACAGAATAAGGCCACTGTACTGGACTTTACAGAGCAGAATAAGCCCACTGCACTGGACTTTACAGAGCAGAATAAGCCCACTGCACTGGACTTTACATAGCAGAATAAGCCCACTGCACTGGACTTTACATAGCAGAATTAACCCACCGCACTGGACTTTACATAGCAGAATAAGCCCACTGTACTGGACCTTACAGAGCAGAATAAGCCCATTGCACTGGACTTTATAGAACAGAATAAGGCCACTGTACTGGACTTTACAGAGCAGAATAAGCCCACTGCACTGGACTTTACATAGCAGAATAAGCCCACTGCACTGGACTTTACATAGCAGAATTACCCACCGCACTGGACTTTACATAGCAAATAGCCCACTGCACTGGACCTTACAGAGCAGAATAAGCCCATTGCACTGGACTTTATAGAACAGAATAAGGCCACTGTACTGGACTTTACAGAGCAGAATAAGCCCACTGCACTGGACTTTACATAGCAGAATAAGCCCACTGCACTGGACTTTACATAGCAGAATTAACCCACCGCACTGGACTTTACATAGCAGAATAAGCCCACTGCACTGGACCTTACAGAGCAGAATAAGCCCATTGCACTGGACTTTATAGAACAGAATAAGGCCACTGTACTGGACTTTACAGAGCAGAATAAGGCCACTGCACTGGACTTTACATAGCAGAATTAACACGACTCGTATATATATATGTATATATGTACTTTGCATATGAACACAGTTTAATATAAAGTGCTGTTCTCTCAGAAGCGACCTTAACTATTCTGAATAAACGTTTGCAGTAAATGTTGACCTCAGACTGAGACTAAACACCTTTAAAACGCCCCTCATCTTTTCGTGCAGCGCGTGGAACTCCTCCTGCGGCATCTCGGGATAAATCTCGTTCTTCAGGAGATCCTCTGTTATCTCCGAGTTGCCGTAATAAACTTTTTGAGCGATTCCGTTCAGCAAACCGCTCAGCGATTTCAGGCTGTCAGCGTCCGCCATAGTGGATGTGGACGGACAAGTCACGTGACCGGTGTCATGTGAGGGGGGCGCACGTGGGAGACACAGCGGGATGTGATTGGCCAATGGAAATACGCGTAGAGACGGTTCTGTCCCAATACCCGCACAGAAGTGTAGACTAAAGGAGTGCAAGGGGGCGAGGGTGCACTGACCGGTAGACAAGAAACACTCGATAAAGACATTACTCGAGTAAATACGGAGCCCCGCTGGTGACATCCTGCACAAATAAAAATAATGCATGGCCATGCCTTAGTAAGGCGTGGGAATGAGATGATTAAGTCGTGGCCACGCCTTATTAACGCGTGGGAACGAGATCCTAATGCGTGGCCACGACTTAATAAGCCGTGATCTCTTTCCCACGCCTTACTAAGTCATGGCCACGACTTAATCATCTCATTCCCACGCCTTACCAAGTCACGGCCATGCATTAGGATCTTGTTCCCACGTATTAATAAGGCGTGGCCACGTGTTATTTTTATTTATACAGGATGGATGTCAGGGCTCCGTAGAAGTGCTTACTTTTAAATGTGGTATAAAAAGTATAAATAGTAAAACTGGGAAATAGCCCAGTTTGCATGCTATATTTGAAGCTATTAGACTTGTAGCAATTCAAGTATACAGTGGGTGTTTAAAGTCCGCAGCCTTAGTGAAATTGCAGGGCTGTTTTGTGATGTAAACTCAGAAAATAAGGTGAAAATCTACATCCACTGACAACATGGATGAACTCTCATCAGCTGTCTCCTTAAAAGTTTAAAAGCTCTTAAAATATAACAAGGGGGGTTTAAATGTTTTATGCTGCTCTGTGTTCAGGATATGATCGCATTGTTTTATCTTAAAATGTTTAAGCATTTATGAACTATGATTTTTGCTCAAATGCTCCATATCAACCCATTCATTTTAGACATTCTAGACGGGAGCGCCCCCTAGCGACATTACGGAGTGGTGATTCTCCTCTGTACAAGTTCTCTGGCTCACCTGAATCATCCATTCCGCCCTCTAGCGGTAGGACGCTTAAACTGCAGCGCATGTTGATTAATGCGCATGCGCAGCACTGTAATTAGGAACTTTTCGCAGGTGATTTGAAACGCTGTGTGTAGCGCGAGAGCCTCCGGTTCGCTGAGATAAAGGTTTATCGAATTCCTGTACAGTAAAAACTACTGAACTGCAATGCAGCGACGCCGTTTGCTGTGTAGACGCTGCGCCCTGCTGATGATCCACATCGCGGCTGTGGTGAAATCTCAAACGGTAATTTACAGACTCATCACTACACTGACTGGAGTACACGGTCTTCATCAGCCTGCTGAGCGTTTCTCTCTCTCTTTCTCTCTCTCTCTCTCTCTCTCTCTCTCTCTCTCTCTCTCTCTCTGTTCTGATTGTAGTCACTACACTGACTGGAGTACACGGTGTTCATCAGCCTGCTGAGCGTTCCTCTCTCTCTCTCTCTCTCTCTCTGTTCTGATTGTAGTCACTACACTGACTGGAGTACACGGTGTTCATCAGCCTGCTGAGCGTTCCTCTCTCTCTCTCTGTCTCTCTCTCTCTCTCTCTCTCTCTGTGTCTGTGTCTCTCTGTCTGTTCTGATTGTAGTCACTACACTGACTGGAGTACACGGTGTTCATCAGCCTGCTGAGCGTTCCTCTCTCTCTCTCTCTCTCTCTCTCTCTCTCTCTCTCTCTCTCTCTCTCTCTGTCTCTCTCTGTCTGTTCTGATTGTAGTCACTACACTGACTGGAGTACACGGTCTTTATCAGCCTGCTGAGCGTTCCTCTCTCTCTCTCTCTCTCTCTCTCTCTCTCTCTCTCTCTCTCTCTCTCAATTCAATTCAATTCAATTCAATTCAGTTCAGTATGCTTTATAGGCATGACCATATTCATTTACAGTATTGCCAAAGCATCATCAAAAGGAACAAGAAGAATTAACATTTAGAACATAGAGCTTTAGAACAAGAGCATAAGAACTCTTAATTTCATTTGATATAAGAATAATTATGACAAGAATCACATAAAATAATAGCAAAAATAGTGCTTTGGAATTAAGTTGTAAAGAAAAATTAAGAGGAAAAATAATAATAAAAAAAAAACAGGGCAGTTTTAGATATCTTGTGTGTGTGTGTGTCTGTGTTTCTGTGTGTGTGTTTGGGTGGGTCACTCACTGTCCCTCATATTGTGGCAGGCAGATACATATCGTGCTGCTAAGGCGCTGCTCTCTCTCCTCTCTCCTAGCAAGATGGGCAGCTTCTCATTATTACTGTGGTGGCTAAATTGGGGGTGAATCTTCTCAAATTTATTAAAGTAGCCTGCTGAGCGTTCCTCTCTCTCTCTCTGTCTGTTCTGATTGTAGTCACTAGAGTGACTGGAGTACACGGTCTTCATCAGCCTGCTGAGCGTTTCTCTCTCTCTGTCTCTCTCTCTCTCTCTGTCTCTGTCTGTCTCTGTCTGTCTGTTCTGATTGTAGTCACTAGAGTGACTGGAGTACACGGTCTTCATCAGCCTGCTGAGCGTTTCTCTCTCTCTGTCTCTCTCTCTCTCTCTCTCTCTCTGTCTCTGTCTCTGTCTCTGTCTGTCTGTCTGTTCTGATTGTAGTCACTAGAGTGACTGGAGTACACGGTCTTCATCAGCCTGCTGAGCGTTTCTCTCTCTCTCTGTCTGTCTGTCTCTGTCTGTCTGTCTGTTCTGATTGTAGTCATTAGAGTGACTGGAGTACACGGTCTTCATCTGCCTGTTGAGCGTTCCTCTCTCTCTGTCTGTTTGTAGGTCAGTGAAAATGACGCCCACATGAACGCAGGTGATGCTTTTAATTTTATTAGTTCATTTAATCTGTTTGAATATAAAGCAGTTATTGATATTATGCAATGATTACTAAAGCCTGTTTTACTTGTGTCTCTAGTGTTTATAGGTGGTGCACACCTAAAATCGATGGTTCTTAAAGGGTTTTTAGTAAAGAAAGCAGTTCTGCATAGAACCATGAACACTCAAAGAACCCTTAGTGTGATTAAAGGGTTCTTTGCATGGTGAAAGGGTTCTTCAGATTGATGAAGAATGTGCTGTAGATGGTCTGTATAGGGATCTAGCTTATATAGTACCAAAAAGGGTTCTTCTATTTGTACAAGCTTGACATCGCAGCAATCGTAAAACCCTTTTTGGTGCAATATGGAACAATTTTCAAATAGTTTCCCTATAGAACCATCTACAGTGCATTGTCCATCAATGTGAAGAACCCTTTCATGATGCAAAGAACCCTTTAATTATTCAAATTAAGTCCATTAAGTGTTCATGGTTCTTTATAGGACCTACTAAAAAACCCTTAAAGAACCTCCATTTTTAAGAGTGTAGGTGGCCTAATTATAAGTGACCTCTTGTTTTTTTATGGTCTGAAAGCACACACTTTAAAAAGATGGTTCTTCAGGGGGTCTTTAGGAAAGGCAATGGTTCTATTCAGAACGCCAAGTTCCGTACAGACGCATTTGCATGCTTAGATGATTTGTTCCATGGCGAAATGGTTTTTCAGGTGTTTTGTATATGGCTCTATATAGAACCTTCTTGAAAAGGGTTCTATATAGCACCTAAAAGGGGTCTTTCTATTATTACCCACTTAACATTGTAACACTTGAAGAACTTGGTGCTAGATGAAACCATTTTCAGAAAGGTCCTGTACAGAACCATATACAACACATTCTCCATTAGTCTGAAGAACAATTTCACCAACATTTCAAAGAACCATTTAAACATGCTAATAGTTCTCTATAAAGGTTATTGTTCTAAATGGAACCATTCTCTTTACTAAGGAACCCTTGAAGAACCGTCTTTTAGTGTGTGTACAGACAGAGGGACAAAACTCAAAATCCTGACTCCAAGATTAGGCTGATTCCACGGTCCCTCAGTGACGGGGGCTCAAAAAGATTGTTCCGTTTTTTTGCATGTGACTTTTATTCTTACTGAATGATTCTTAATTGAATCGCTTTATTCACTAAGCAATAATTAAAGACTTGTTTTAGACACAACCAGCAGCATCAATTAGTCTCAGCAGCGACGCAGCTTCTATTGTCACCCCTGCATTGAACCCCCACCCTCTCCCATCCATCTCCATCCATCTCCATCTATCCCCATCCATCATTTGTGGAAATTTTAGTGGGCTTTGACTAAGGTGTCTGCCCTATAGTACTCAAACACATTTATTATGGAGTTTTACTATGACAAGCAAGTTGCAGTACATTGAAATGCAGTCATGTTGCTCATATGCAACAAGTAATGAAGGTATAACAGTAAATAGGATTAGGAAAATTCTTGCAGTGTTTTGATGCTGTGACTAGTTCTGCTTAGGCAAATAAAGAGGTGAAGGGCCCTACATTCCTATTGGCACCCTTGCAATGGACCAAAGTATATATCTTGTATGATCTTTGCTGCATGTAAAGGCTGCTTTCATGTGCAGATTTGCTGTATCGCACATGAAAGCATGCTGTATGATTGGTCTTGACATAATCAATTGGTAGTGAAGAGCTGGATGGGTTAAACTGGAGGCTACGTCAGATGCACCAAAGACAGCTTTGGAATATCTCTGTAGCTTCAGCCCTGCTGAGGTGTTACCTTTGCTGCATCTGAGGAACAAATAATGCACCATGTAATTAAAGAGCCGGTGTTCTAATACATTAGAGAAGCTGCGTAATAGTGGAACTGTGGTGTCATACTAGTGTCACACTTCAAAGACGTTTTGGAAATTATGTATTTTAACCCACAGGTGCCCAATCCTGGTCCTGGCGATCCACCACCCTGCAGAGTTTAGACACAATCCTAATCTAACACACCTGATCCAGTTTATGAAAACCTCTGAACAGTAGAGGCAGGTGCATTTGATCTGAACTCTGCAGGGTGGTAGATCTCCAGGACCAGAATTGAGCACCTCTGCATTAACCTGTTTTCGTACATATTAGAGCTATGAAGTGGTATATTTGATCAATAGTTTGCTCGTGTACAGCTTGAAAATAGTCATTTCACAAAACTAG